GGACATAAAAGATCAGAGGAATACTGTAGCGAGTATTCAGAAATCCCGATAGACATCGAGGCGCCATGAAAGGTTAATCATCGGAAACGAAAGCGAATGTAACGCATTCTTTCCGAGAAGTATGGCGTTTTTGTTCGAAAACATTCTAGAATGTTCGGGAGCGTTCGGAAGTGTTCGAGAACTTTCGAGGAAAACGGGCGTATGCGATATAGCCAAATTTCATGGAATTTAAACCGCGTTGCCAAGGTGAAATAATAGTAATAAATAGCTCCCGCTCGTGTTACGTTATAAATTGTGAGTGATAAATAATAATGACTGTTATAAATTTATTGTTAGTTAATTGTAAATAAATAAATCACGTAATTGAACTTACGTTACAACTTACAATACGGGACGAGGAGGGGGCCCGACAATAGGGGGGTGGAAGTGAAGTGCTCTTCACCCAGATTTCTCTCACGGAACATTTGGAAACGATTACGGATATGGTTTAGATGAAAAATTTGGATCACGTGCCTAATTAGTGGCTAATACTTCTACGAAATTACATGTTTACTACCTACTTTATATTATATAAGCGAATGCGTGTTTCCCAGACTTAAATCGCTGCCTTTAGGCAATACCAATCTTACGCTTCTCAATTTTTATTGTCTCGTAATTTTGCAAATAATTAGGATCTGAATATATCATCTTATTGCTTACGTTTAAACGATCAATTTCTCCTCTTATGGTAAACTTACGTAAACCGGTTACACGATGACGCAATGCACCGTATTACTTATTCATACCACAGCTGGCATTACTGTGGGGTTACTGCCATCATGTGATTTTTCCAATAAATTTGCAAATATAAACACGTCCTGCCTATTTGCGGAATTATGTGCTCTACGTCAATCTTTAATTATTGCCGGAGTACAGTTATTTTGTAGCGATAAATTTTGGTACCTATTTCAGAATTACCCGGTAGAATTCAATCGTTTCACACAATAAGTGACATGTAAATAAATACCACAATTGCTTATTTGCTACAATCAACAGTATAACAACTCGGGAGGTATCCGTTTGTTTATTTGTTTATTATCCCTCTCTTAGTTTTGGGCCCTCAACAGGCATGCGCCCAATTACAGAGTGACCCGCATAATGCTATTTAGAGGTGCCTCTGCAGAAGGTCTTAAGTTGGTCTCTATACTACTCCGGTATTTACCTTACGAATTAGGAAAACTGCAGGAAAACCTAATTCGGAGTAGCCGGTAGAATGCTCGGAACTGGTCTAAGGTAATTTACATCTCCGCCACAGATGAAAAATTCACTTTGACCCAGGTTCCAACACCCGACCTCCGGATTTATAACCCAACGCTCTTACCACTGAGCCATAAAGCCGGCTCGTTCCTCGATAATGCTCCACCAGAAGCGATGTGGAAGTCCTCCTCGATCGTTGTTTTCCGAAGCTGTAGCCAATCTGGGATAGTGCTAAGCTCAGTTGCTAATTATTAGGGCAAGTACACAAGAAAATCCAAAAAGATAGAGTACTTTGGAGCTATGTGTCGAACAGTTTCTAAAAGTGTTTCCACCCCCGTGAAGGAACTACGTTTCGTGGAAGGCCTTTCTATGTACAATATTGCTGGAGGGAATTGCGACCCAGCACCAGGGTGAAGTACCCTACTTTTCGCACCCCGGAGAACGCGCCGAATGACTATAGATACGCTCAGTCGCGCACCCCATAAATTCGATCGATTGATATAGTCATGTTCATTGCTGGTTACCCTCCTCCTCCTTCCGTTTCTTGTAATGTAACTACTCCATATAGAAGACTTGGTATTTGAATATATCTAGACCCAGATTTTTCAAGATTTTATTGCGCACCTCGTCCTTCTAGATCAACCTAATAATCCTTGTTCTAAGTACCTAATTACCACGAGTTCAGAGAATGAAAAAATCCCGTTTCTCGTGTTAATGTGTTACCACGCTTTCATCTCAAAACAGATAAGGACAGCAAAGTATTCATTTTGGACAGAAAGGACTACTTCAAAAGAGTTGATGATATCTTGTATCAGGGTTCAGTTTTACCACAATGTCCGCTTCCTAAAATAATTGCACAAACTAAGAAAGGTGATATTAGAATGTAAAGGTGTATCTAATCGACTGACTGTTGTCTAACCCCGAATCTACCTTCCCAAAATTCATAACCCATCAGGTAAAACCGGATATTTTAGAATATGAATTTAGGAAACAATTTTGTGAAATCTAACAGCACTTTTAATTTCACTTGGTGTCACTTCATATTGGGCCTTTTTAGCTGGAGGATGCTGAACTTGACAATTTGCTCAACTAAATTCAAAATATCTAAGCTTGGTATTGAAAGTACAATTTTCAAAAAATCACAATTGATAAAAAGAACCACATTTCCTCTTATAACCCAGAAATATATAGCTTTTCACGGAAGAGATTACTTCCTAACCAACAAAGTCAAGCTCTATGGCACTTACCTATGCAAAGTTAATGGTTGAATTATGTAAATTCTTATATGTACCTTTAATTGAAATGCCACAGATGACGAATGACGAGAAAACAGCTATGTACACACTCAAAGAAGAGCAAAACTTTGGCATTCATTTTTTTTTAATTCTCCTCTTTCAACATTTAGTTGTCATCTGCGTGTATTCGCATGATTATTTGTGAGAATTTTAATGTTATAAATGTCTAATTGTTACATTATGTTATTGAGAAACGTATTTGTTACTATAAGACTAATTACAATTACTTTAGATTGTTTTTGAACACGAAGAGAACATGCCGTTAAGTTTTCAAGGTTTTAGGGATTTATTATACCAACTTAAAAATACGGTTACAACATGTTCATTGCTACTTTAATAATCGAGAAAAGACAATGTATTTTATTCATTTTGGAGGTGACTTCTTGTAGATCCATAAAATTAGCAACGAACAGTCCAGCAACTTAACATCACCGGTACACGTATAGCCCCTAAACAGGTATAAATTGTGCACAATTCTTGTGCAGATAAAGCGCATTTTTTTAAACACAAATAGCTTAGGTAGGTGAAGGTCCATCACCAATGGATATAATTTTTCCAGGCGTCCCAATCGCCCTTTGTGATTACCATCCTCCAACAGTATGTTCTTGAGGTATAAGGAATCATTTATATCCGATCACGATAAGGGGTCAAGGAGGAGGACTATGGTTGTTAGAAATTGATTCCATTCGTTGAGACCGTTCATGAGAGTACTATGAAGGATCAAACCAGTTCCCCCCCCCCCCCATGTTTTGATAAGGAGTCTGAAAGTAGGGCGGTACCTATATGGTACAAAACAGTTCCTTTTGTTGAAACCTTTAATTAAAATACCATGAAAGATAAAATTAGTTTTTATCTCGTCTCTCTTCCCCGGCCACCCAGGAAACTCGAAAAGGAGTCGCGCAAGAAAGTTATAGTTTGTGCAAACCAATTCATTTCCTTTCATTAGAATACCATGAACGGTAGAACGTCTGCTCACTCCTCCCTCCTTCCGGCCACCATTTTCAAAAATTTTACGTGGCGTATGCAAAATCTTAAATCAGTTAGTTGTGACATGTAACACTTGTGCACGATTTACTTTCAACAACAGCATCTCAGGAAATAAGCCCCCCCCCCCCTGGAGACTGCGAAATTTGATGGTCGTCTGGCACACCTTCACTGTTGCAAAACATTCCAGGACTCTATCTAAGACCATTCCCCTAAAAGTATTTCAAAACCGCAGAAGTAGAAATCGTGGAAAACTGTGTTTTTTGTTTTCCGGTAAAAAACTTTTTTTCAAATGAAAATTATCGTATAGAGTTCCATTTCATATTTGATGTCATTTTCTTTGTTTTTATATATACTATTTGATGAAATTCTGAAAAAATTATAGTTCCCATTGAACAAGACACTCAAAAAACGAAAAAACTTCAGTAACATTGAATTTCCCAGTAAATGTTGATGATTTATTTAAATTTTGGAAATTTGTCAAAAATTGATTTCAGCATTCGATTCTACGGGAAAAAAGCACCTATTATTTCTGTGTTTCACTTTGGCCGGCCGTCTGACTGGCTGGCTGGCAGCAAATGCGCGCCCGTAGAAGAACGCTTAATTACGCTGAATTTATCTTTCCGAAAGATATGACGTTTTGTCCGAGAACGTTCTAGAATAGTGGGGTGCCTTCGGAAGCGCTCGAGATCTTTAGAAAAAGAGGAGACGTTTGGTATATAAGAAAAAGAATTGCGTTTCAGTTCAGTTCTGATTTCGACGCCGAAGTAATAAATGGTTCGTGCTGTTATAAA